GAATTTAAGTCTCAAGTGATTCCCTGGAAATATGTAGCCTTGTCTTCAGAAATAGTCTCAAGTTTAATAGTTTATTATTGAAGACAAAACAAATGCAAAGTGCTATGGATCAGAAATTGAGGGTTCCCAACCAGTATTTATATTAATAAAGGATATGGAAATACTTTAATTATAATCATGTTGTTATTTAAAACTGCTGAATTTAATCTGTTGGTAGAAAAATGAAAAACTGAACCCTAGCACAGTCTTACTTTACACACAATAGGTGCTCAAAAAAAGTTTGATAAGAGTTCAGCTCTTTGAGCTGTCACAGAATGGTTAAGTTAAATGCTTTGGTCTTGTTTTACCAAGTGAGAGGTTGAAGCCAGATCAGCAATATGATGAGCAGCAACTTGGTAGGCCTGAAGTCTTAAAGAAAAAAAAAAAATTCTCATTGCAAGCTAAGAATGGTGAAATTCAATACATGAAGGAGCTTGGAGTAATAGATTATTTTCTTTCTCTACCTCATACATAGTGTGTGGGTTTTAAATTGAAGCATTAAACTTATAGTGCCCAAATCTTAAATGTGCAGCTTGATAAATTTTTACATATGTATATACCCATGTAACCACCACCCAGATCAAGATACACATCTCCAGTGCTTCCTCCCAGTAAGTAACCACCACCCACAACCTTATCACCTTTCATCAGTTTTGCCTGTTTTTGAATCATGGAATCATACAGAATGTACTGTGTCTGGCTTTTTCCATTCAACCTTGTAATTATGAGATTCAGCCACATTTTTGTGGACATCAGTAGTTTGATCCTTTTTATTACTGACTAGTACTCCACTGCATGGATGTACTACAAATGTGTGTATCCATTGTCCTGTTGATGGACATCTGGGCTGTTTTCTATTTCTGTCAATAGAAAGATTTCTATCAGTCTTCATTATAGATAAAACTGCTATGTATGATCATTCTTGTACAAGTTTCTGGGTGGACATAAACACTCGTTTCTCATGGGTATGTGCCTAGAACAGACTTCTAATCCACAAGGTAGGCGTGTGTTTAACTACAGTAAATCAGGCAAGTTTTCTAAAGTCATTGTATCATTTGAGAGTGCTCATATAAAGTTTTTAAATAATAAAAAAAAAGCTCTCCAGTTGAAACAAGAGTTTTAAGACTTTTTGGGTTTTGTGTTGTTGTTTGTTTTTCCATCTTTTACAGCAGGGGTCACATAAGCAGAGTGCTCATGTCTCAGGAGATACACTGGGGGGCTGTGAGAAGAAAATAGTACAGCTTCTATTTTTGTTTCTTATTATTTTACCTAAGAAGTGAATTTTACTAATATTTAATACATACATTGACACTCTTGTCCTTATTCATATGATTATATTCATTCACTTTGGGTATACTATGATTTACTGCCATTTGAGAATTATGGAATATCTACTTGTAACTGAACTCTTGCCAAATGAACAAGTGGCTAAAAAGAGTCCTATGAATATAATACTAATAATGTAAGCACAAGTAAATAAGGAAATGGCCAAAGTGACAGTTCTATTATAGAAATTCTCTTTAGAAGATAAAATCTGTGACCATCTAGGTCAGATCTCACATGTAGCAGGAGAAAAATATTCTAAAAATTAATACTTTGAAAAATGTGGATTTAATCTATTAATATTTTGTGAATAAGAATTTTAAAACAAAACATTGTTTATGTCATCCCTTTTAGTTTTTGTATTTATTTTACAATGTATATAAATAGTATAAAGTATATACAATTTTAAAGTAAATTTACACATATTTGGGATGAATTCTCAAATTATTTTACCAAGAGGGTACACAATCGAAAGGGTTCAGAGACTCTTGTTTGAGCATATTTTTCAGTACTAAGCTAGTTAATCCTTAGGCATAAATAAACTTGATTTTTTAAATCATTTACAATAAAGTATACTCATTTGAAATGGCTAGCTGCTATTTAATGTTAAACTAACACATCTGAACAGAGAGGAGCACAGGAATCAACTGGGAAGAGGCATGAGGGAACTTTCATGGGTGTTGGTACTGTTCTGTATCTTGGTAGGGGTTTGTTATTATACCTGAGTATACATTTGTCAAGATCACTGAATGGTACAAGTGTATTTCAGTCTATGTAAATCTTACCTCGAAAGGGAAAAAAAAAGGATCTATAAAAAATATTGACCTCTAGTTAATGATGTGCATGCTGAAGTGTCTAGGAGTAAATCATAGTGATGTCTGCAAGGTACTTTGAAATGCATTAAAATAAGATGGGCAATTGTATGGATAGAGGGATGGGTATATGAACAAAAATGTGACAGAGCAAGTATAATTAAATGTTAATTGTAGGGTCTAGGTCAGAGATATATGGGTGTTCACTGTACAGTTCTTTTAACTTTTCTCTGTGTTTGAAATTTTTCATGATAAAATGTTGGAAAAAAAATCTACTCAAGAGTTGAAAGTTTTTAAAAATGTAGTGATACTGGGGAAAAGTTAGAAATTTAAAAGGGAAAAAGGTAGGAACATTCACGTACCACTGCTTGGTGCTTTTACATAAACTAAATCTGTGAGGTGAGAATTATTTAGACAAGTGAACCGAAACTTAGAAAGATTACAGACCATGCCTGAGGTCACAGAGCGAGAAGCACAGCTAAAGGCTAAATCCAACCTGACCAAGTTTACCAGAAGTCTGAATCCCCTTGGCCTACATTCCACACAAGGGGCTGCCTAGGACCAGATGTCTTCCCTACAGCAGGGAAATCACTTCTGACTGTTAGAAAGCTGCAATCTGTCTCCCCCATGTTTTTCCTCCTAGGTTTGATTTCTTGGGGCCATATAGAATCCCCACATGGCTGGCCTTCATAACAAGTGATAGTATTTACCACTTGAATGAGTTAAGATTTTTTTCCCCCGGCTAATATTTTGTAACATCATCATCTACAAAGCTATAGCTAGATGTAAAATTGGGAAATGTCTTAGAATTGGGATTAAAATAAAATGAGAACATATATGAAGCACATAGCACTGTAACTAACAAAGAGCAGGAACTAAAAAATCTTTCTTTTTTTCCTAACCTTTACTTTTTCTTGGAAATTACAAAATGCCACTCACTATCAAATAATACATTAAAAAAAGAGAAAGATATAGGTTCTTTCTTTGAGGAGCTCATGTTAAATGTGAACAGACATACTTTTATTTCATGTATTTATTGTATCTTATCTAACATAATTGATTTTATTTTCTCATTTTATTTTCCAGTTCGCCTTGGTTTGGAATTATAACTTACGAGAGTTTTATGTACAATTAGATATACAACTAGGACCACTTCTGCAGCACTTTTTTGTTTCAAAATTACTACAGGTGGTCAAGCTATGCAAGCAATCTGGTAATGAAATTTTAAGACTATTTTTTTTTTTGACTCTGAGAATAGTTTTCAAAGGTAAAATTAAAGAAAGCCATTGCATTACAAAGAAATGACCAACTGGTAATGCTAACCTTTAATTTACATTTGACTCTGTATAAACATATGTGCCCTATAGCAAGCTGTTTCTTACTTGACAAATCTATTCAGGGATTTCCTAAAGGGCTAAAGACACAAGTCTTGCCCCTTTGGGCAGTATGGCACTGTAGTATGAAAAATAACCACTTATTCTACAGGAAAATTTTGCCTTATTTAAGGACAACCTCCACTTCAGATGTAGAAAAAAGTTCTTTTGCACAGTCTCATGGAACCTGAATAAGTCTGGTTTTTTTTTTTTTCCCATTTGAAATCTGAGGTTGTTTAAGTGGTGGAAGGAACCCTAAAAAAAACCCCAAAACTTTATATTTGCAGAAATGAATATTCAGACAGTTGAAATGATGAGCCCACATCAGATACCAGGTCCCCCAATTCCTGGCCCAGCGTTCTTTCCATTTCACCATCATGGCAAACTGAACACACAAAAACAACGTGATGATGTCCATCCATGCCTTCAACTTCACTAAATTGCAGGCTGCTCACCCATGATGTCACTTCCTTTGTGAATGGGTGTATTTTCTCTCTTTGGTTTTGCTATCGTCACTGGACTACAAGATTGTGGAGCTCACGCTCGTATTTACGCCAGCATTTCCCCATGTCTAGTTCAATTCCTCAAGGACACCAATCAATATCGAGCCCTCCGAGATGCCTTGATCCTCCTTTTACCGAAATTTCTTATTTCAAGCAATGAAACTGCCAACCGTTAAAAAAAATGAACAGGGATTTAGTTTTAACACACAAAGCACACACACGGTAGTGCTGTCCCCCCTCTTTGCTCAACGGGCCTGCTGAAAAAATGTTAATGCTGTGTGTCACCCGCGGATGCTTTCTAGAGAAAGAGCCCGGCGACAGCCCCGCGACAAGGGAAGAGAGCGATCGCGGACCGTGGTGGGAGGCCAAGGAGAAGGTCTGGGATCGACCTAAAACAAATATGGAGGTGACGAGGCACGAGGGGCTTCCCGGTCCCACCAGCCGGTGCTCTCCGCGTCGGGGGCAAGGAACGAGGGGCCCGGGGAGGCACGTACCCCAGGACAATGACGGGCAGGCGGGGCCCCCGGACTCGCACTCGGGGAAAACTCAACAAGTCTGGATGGCGGAGGATGCTCGGAGAGACGGAGGACCGGCCGCCCGGAGGCTCCCGCTGGCCTCTCGGGGCCACCACCCGGGCCTCACCGGCACTGACGCCGCCGCCGTCCGCCGACTCGCGAACGGCCATTTGCAGTGCGCGCCCCGACGTTCGCCGGGACCCCGCGGTGTCTCCCGCGACCCTGCCCCGGCCGCCGCCTCCGCCCCAGGCCGCTTCCCCGCGGCCCGGGTTCCGTCAGCACCGGCTCTCCCGGGAAGGCGGCGGCGGGCCTGTGGGGCCGGGCCCACCGCCCCCGCGCAGCGCCGGCCGGGCAGAGGCGATGGGAAGGGGCGGGCGCGCCATCATGAAGGGAAAATGGTGGGCGGGCGGGCCCGCGCGCGGCCGCCGTACTCACCCGGGCCGGCCAGTGCGGGTAGCCCTTCATCTTGGCGAACACCAGGTCGCCCGCCTTGTACTCGCGGGGCCGCGGACGCGCCATCCCGGCCGCTCCCCTTCCCGGTCGTCCTTGGTCGCCGCGAAGACGCCAGGAGGCCGCCCCCCCGCGGGCCGACGGACTGCGCCGCACTCCCCGCGGCCTCGGG